GTTAATTAAATTTTCCTGTCTATGGAAAGGACAGTGGGGGATATTCAGGTATCCTCTGGAGCGCGTCCGTATAATGTTAACATTCCTTATTTCTGAATCTAACATAATTTAGCTCCTTATTTGAGGTATCCTCTGGTTAATAACAACTTTGATAGTTGCCTTAGCTTCTCATTTACATACTGTGCTGAATCTCCCTAAATCCCCAAAAACAAATCAAAACGGGAAATCTAGCTCATTGACATGAATCAGCATCATTCAGGAATTGATCATCTAAGACATTTTTTTTTATTTAAGAGCTCTTTTTACTTTAGTTTCCCCGGAAAAGAAAAGTTTCAGACCACATCATGACCTAAATTCTAATGCATTATTAAAAAATAGATGTACTTTTGCTAAGACATCACGGTGGGAGGTGAGGGAACAATATTTCGCTAATCACTAAACAAGTATATCACTGCAAAACAGGCATTTTGACCCTTCTCTCTAAGCTACACCTTTCAAAATACAGTATAATAAAACATTTTATCAAGCAGCAGCCTTATTTTTCATTTATTTTCCCAAAGGAAATGCCCAGTGTAATGCAGTGCATTAATATGTATATTTTGACAATAAATTTTACAATTCTTTGTGTTCGAAGTCAAAAATATTAAAGAGGGAACTTTCAATTATCTTTTAGTTTTGGCCCCACCCGCTACCTGGAGTTACCATCTTTATTATTCTGGCATGGCGCCACAGCCCATTGGGTCCCAGCAAAAGTGTTGCAGCACATCTGCGCACACGTAGAGGATTTTCTGTACATGCGCTGACACACTGAGCTTTGGGACTTACAGATCAAGCCCCATCTTTGTGCATAAGCAGGAAACCCATATGTTCACAGATGTGCCGTATGGCTCTGCCATGTACCTGTACCCCTGTGGAGGGAGAGATGTCATTCTCTCGCCTAGGCAAGTAAGACGGAAGTGGTGCATGCTAGCACCAAAATGCTTGCTAAGTAAAACAGAGAAAATATAATCCAAAATGTGAGAAAGGAAGGGGGGAGAAATGGCAATGAGAAAATAAGTATTTTTTTAGGGTCAATGTGTCCGCTTTAAGTAGTATATATAAAGTTGTAGGGGGGGCAGCACATTAAAGCAGCAGAAGACAGAATGTGCAGCAGCAAAAGGTAGGTTACCAATAAAAGGATGTGGAGGAAAATGCAGGGGACACTAATGTGCTCTATAAAGTGAAGTTACATTTTGTGTGATCTGGGAAATCTGAATTTGTATTATGGTGGCTGCTTTAGTCTCCACAGTATCATTTAAGGCCCTCTACCAACCAATCTTAGTCTTTTTTTTTTTCTATACTGAAGCAGGGAAACGCAGACCTCAGATATGTTATAAACAATATAATTTATTAACACTAACAGTACAAACATAAACGCAGTGCAATACTAAAACATAATACACGTGCAAACAAACCAAACCAAACCACCCACAGATAACAGTATACATACAAGCAAGCGTCGTCAGGCAGGCCGGGTCAATATCAATTGGGCAGGTAGGTACAGGGGGAGCAAGCGGAGAATGGTCGGGGTCACAGGCCAGGTTCAGCAGGTAGCAAGCAAGCAGCATAGTACAGAGGGTCAGGCAGAGGGATGGTCCGGGTCACAAGCCAGGGATCAGAACAGGTAGCAAGCAGCGTAGTACAGAGGGTCAGACAGAGGGATGGTCAGGGTCACAAGCCAGGATCAGAGCAGGAGAAGTCAGCAAAGGAACAGAAACAGGATGCAGGACAGATACAGGGCCCAGGACAAACACAACACCAAGGCAGAGTCTGCAAGTCTGGCCATCCCTTAAATACACCAGTATCATCATCAGTTCCAGGTGTTAGCTGGCTGAAAGGTTGAGTCTCTCTGATTGCTGGGAGCACCCGCTGGCCAGCCCTGGTACTGCAGATCAAAAGGCAGGTGAGTCCCACCATTGCTGGCCAGTCCATTCCTAACAGTACCCCCCCCTCAAGGAGCGGCCTCAGGACGCTCCAAACAGTCCTAGCTGGGCAAAATGTTCCACCGCCGGGTCTGGCAACTGGCGGGATATCAAAGACTGGCACACCGGGCAGGACTCCGGGCAGCGGCACACCGGGCTGGACTCCGGGCAGAGGCACATCGAGCAGAGGCACACCGGGCAGAGGCACACCGGGCAGAGGCACATCGGGCAGGACTCCGGGCAGAGGCACATCGGGCAGAGGCACATCGGGCAGGACTCCGGGCAGAGGCACATCGGGCAGGACTCCGGGCAGAGGCACACCGGGCAGAGGCACATCGGGCAGGACTCCAGGCAGAGGCACATCGGGCAGGACTCCGGGCAGAGGCACATCGGGCAGGATCGGGCAGAGGCACATCGGGCAGGAGGCACACATCGGGCAGGACTCCGGGCAGAGGCACATCGGGCAGGACTCCGGGCAGAGGCACATCGGATTACCAGGCGAAAGCAGCAGGCAACAGCGGGCCCACCAGGCGGAGCAGCAGGGCACCGGGCCCCGGGCGGATCAGCAGGCACCGGGCCCCCCGGCGGCAGCAGCAGGCACCGGGCCCCCGGGCGGGCAGCAGGCACCGGGCCCCCGGGCGGATCAGCAGGCACCGGGCCCCCGGGGGGATCATCAGGCACCGGGCCCCCCAGGCCCCCGGGCATAAGCAGGCACCGGGCCCCCGGGCGGAAAGAAGCAGGGCAGGCACCGGGCCCCCCGGGCGGACATCGGCAGGCACCGGGCCCCCGGGCGGGGCTACACAGGCATCGGGCCCCCGGGCGGAGAGCAGCAGGGCACCGGGCCCCCGGGCGGGAGCAGCAGGCACCGGGCCCCCGGGCGGGGGCAACCAGGCACCGGGCCCCCGGGCGGGGCAGCAGGCACCGGGGCCGGGCAGCAGGCACCGGGCCCCCGGGCGGGGCGTCAGGCACCGGGCCCCCGGGCGGGGGCGACAGGCACCGGGCCCCCGGGCGGAGCGAGCAGCAGGCACCGGGCCCCCAAGCGGAGGCAGCAGGCACCGGGCCCCGGGCGGAAGCACCAGGCACCGGGCCCCCAGGCGGGGCGACAGGCACCGGGCCCCCAGGCGGGGCGACAGGCACCGGGCCCCCAGGCGGGGCGACAGGCACCGGGCCCCCAGGCGGAGCGACAGGCACCGGCCCCCAGGCGGGGCGACAGGCATCGTGCCCCCAGGCGGGGCGACAGGGCATCGTGCCCCCAGGCGGGGCGACAGGCTCGGGCCCCCAGGCGGAGCGGCGGGCGCCGGACCCCCAGGCGGAGCGACAGGTCTCGGGCCCTCAGGCGGAGCGGCGGGCGCCGGACCCCCAGGCGGAGCGACAGGTCTCGGGCCCTCAGGCGGAGCGGCAGGCGCCGGACCCCCAGGCGGAGCGACAGGTCTCGGGCCCTCAGGCGGAGCGGCGGGCGCCGGACCCCCAGGAGGAGCGACAGGTCTCGGGCCCTCAGGCGGAGCGGCGGGCGCCGGACCCCCAGGAGGAGCAACAGGTCTCGGGCCCTCAGGCGGAGCGGCAGGGCGCCGGACCCCCAGGCGGAGCGACAGGTCTCGGGCCCTCAGGCGGAGCGCGGCGGGCGCCGGGCCCCAGGAGGAGCGACAGGTCTCGGGCCCTCAGGCGGAGCGGCGGGCGCCGGACCCCCAGATGGAGCGACAGGTCTCGGGCCCTCAGGCGGAGCGGCGGGCGGGCCCGGACCCCCAGGTGGAGCGACAGGTCTCGGGCCCTCAGGCGGAGCGGCGGGCGCCGGACCCCCAGGAGGAGCGACAGGTCTCGGGCCCTCAAGCGGAGCGGGCAGGTGCCGGACCCCCAGGCAAGCGACAGGTCTCGGGCCCTCAGGCGGAGCGACAGGTATCTCAGGCCCCAGGCGGGGCGGCGGGCGCCGGATCCCCAGGCGGAGCGGCGGGCGCTGGACCCCCAAGCGGAGCAACAGGTCTCGGGCCCCCAGGCGGAGCGGCGGGCACCGAGACACCAGGCACGACAGTGGGCTCCGAGTCAACTGGTATGACCGCAGGCACTGGGTCAGACATTGGATGGTCTGGCTGGACAGCGGGCATCGGGTCACCAGGCATCAGGTCATTTGGCTCGACAGCGGGCACCGTGTCATCTGGCAAGGCAGTGGGCTCCGAGTCAACTGGTATGACCGCGGGCGGGGCACTGGGTCAGACATTGGATCGTCTGACTGGACAGCGGGCATCGGGTCACCAGGCATCAAGTCATTTGGCTCGACAGCGAGCACCGCGTCATCTGGCAAGGCAGTGGGCTCCGAGTCAACTGGCATGACCGCGGGCACCGGGGCAGACATTGAATCGTCTGGCTGGACAGCGGGCATCGGGTCACCAGGCATCAGGTCATTTGGCTCGACAGCGGGCACCGCGTCATCTGGCAAGGCAGTGGTCTCCGAGTCAACAGGCACGACAGTGGGCACCGGGTCATCAGGTACCGGATTGTCTGGCTCGACAGCGGGCATCGGGTCATCAGGTATGACAGCGGACACACTAGGTCACCAGGCATCAGGTCATTTGGCTTGCCAGCGGGCACCGCGTCATCTGGCAAGGCAGTGGGCACCGAGTCACCAGGTACGACAGCGGGCTCTGAGTCAATTGGCACGACAGCGGGCACCGGATCAGGTACCGGATCATCTGGATCAACAGCGGGCATCGAGTCAACTGGCCTAATAGGATCGTCAGGCTGGATCAGTTCATCATGCTGGGTAGAGGCATTAGGCCGAGTAGAGGCTTCAGGCCGAGTAGAGGCATCAGGCCGAGTAGAGGCATCAGGGCCGAGTAGAGGCTTCAGGCTGAAGAGAGGCATCAGGCGGCAGGCATCAGAGTACAGGCATCAGGCCGAGTACAGGCTCAGGCCGAGTAGAGGCTTCAGGCCGAGTAGAGGCTTCAGGCTGAGGAGTAGGCTTCAGGCCGAGGAGAGGCTTCAGGCCGCGTAGAGGCTTCAGGCCGAGTAGAGGCATCAGGCCGAGTAGAGGCATCAGGCCGATGAGTAGAGGCATCAGGCCGAGTAGAGGCTTCAGGCCGAGTAGAGGCTTCAGGCCGAGTAGAGGCTTCAGGCCGCGTAGAGGCTTCAGGCCGAGTAGAGGCATCAGGCTGCGTACAGGCATCAGTCTGAACCACGGAAGGCAGGCTCACGGTTTGGATACTGGCAGGATGGTATTGGTTGGAAAGAATTTTCGCTTTTTTCTGGTTTTAACTACTGGAGCACTGCAAGTAAACGCAGGTCTGCAAACGAATGGAGCAGCTGGAGACAGAGAAGAACTGGAGGATGGAACAGGAGAGGGAGCAGTTGCTACAGAGGGCTTTTTTACAGGGTTAAAGGCAGGATAGGTGCAGCGAGTGGGAACAGGGTACTGACATGCGGTAGATAGCCAAGTATACTGGGCTGTAACTGGAGGAGCTGGTGGGAAATACAGGAGTAGAGTTAGAAGCAGGACTGGGTCTTTGTAAGCTGACTGAGGCTGGGTGCAACAAGTCTGTCCATGTCTGCAGTAGGGGTTGAACAAAGCTGAGCTTACACAAAGTCTGTCTGGTCAATGACTGCACTGCGTTTATACAATCTCTTAGTGTCTGTGGTGAACATGTGGAATAACGCTCCAGAAAGTAACCCACATCATCCTCTAATAACCACACCAGGGACTCTACCTGTCTGCACTAAATGGTGGCAAAAATTCATCCCTGCATTCGGGGGAACCAGATGAAACCAACTCTGCACAAACCTCAATCAATGGCTGCACCTCAGAGAATACTGTGCCCTGATCTACTAGAACATGAGCGAGCCGTATACATTCTAGCAATTCATCCCGGGTATACTCCTTCAGAGTTTGATAAGCATACTCCCTGTCATCAAACACTAGCAGATATAAATACTCAACCTCATCAAGATCCATCCTTCCCATCAACAAGCCAAGATGGCTTCCCTGTGCAGCCACTTCTGGTCAGGATTGGCCTTGGTGTAATGTCAGGGCTCCCAGGTATGACCAGAGGTGTGTGACTGAAGCAGGGAAACGCAGACCTCAGATATGTTATAAACAATATAATTTATTAACACTAACAGTACAAACATAAACGCACGCAGTGCAATACTAAAACATAATACGGTGCAAACAAACCAAACCAAACCACCCACAGATAACAGTATATACAAGCAAGCGTCGTCAGGCAGGCCGGGTCAATATCAATTGGCAGGTAGGTACAGGGGGAGCAAGCGGAGAATGGTCGGGGTCACAGGCCAGGTTCAGCAGGTAGCAAGCAGCATAGTACAGAGGGTCAGGCAGAGGGATGGTCCGGGTCACAAGCCAGGGATCAGAACAGGTAGCAAGCAGCGTAGTACAGAGGGTCAGACAGAGGGATGGTCAGGGTCACAAGCCAGGATCAGAGCAGGAGAAGTCAGCAAAGGAACAGAAACAGGATGCAGGACAGATACAGGGCCCAGGACAAACACAACACCAAGGCAGAGTCTGCAAGTCTGGCCATCCCTTAAATACACCAAAGAGTCATGAAACGCGTCAAGTTTTTGGATGCAATTTTAGTGTAATCATGCATTGACATCTGGATTGTATATGGTCAACAGTATATTTAATTTTGTATGAAATGCATTAATATGGATTCATTACAAATCAGCTTGTTACCATTATATCCTCTTTTTGTATGCAATGAGAAGTTTATATATTCATTTATTAAACAACAATGTGGGAAACTAGTTATTCATTGGTCATATGTTCTGTGTCTCCTTCAAAGTCCCAGGACAAATAAATTGGTTGTAACAATCTTAGTCAAGTAAAGTAAATAGAATAGGGAATATTTTTTGCTATTTGTGCCCTGTTGGGTATATTTCACTTTGTGCCCCAGAGACACAAACAAAAACAACAGGAAGTAAGAGGAAATCTCTTCACTCTCTTAGCGTGTGACAATAGTTGTCAGACAGGAAAAAGATCATCCCACCGGCAAATGAGAAGAGGGGAGCACAAGTCCGAGCGATGGAAGGAAAAAGATCACCCCACTAGAAAGTGAGAAGAGGGGAGCATGAGTCCGACCGATGGAAGGAAAAAGATCACCCAACTGGAAAGTGAGAAGAGGGGAGCATGAGTCCAAGCGATTCCAGCGTCAACCAATACAAGTGAAGGGATGGACACTGCTCAACCGATCCCAGGAGTCCAATGTTGAGGAATGGCCTCTGCCACCATTCTGGCCATGCCCTCTGATGCGTTTAGCCCTGCCCACCGGGGGCTTGGTCACAGAGGTAGTGAGGAAGCGAGAAGCCAGGAAATACACTACATTGCCAAAAGTATTGGGACGCCTGCCTTTACACGCATATTAACTTTAATGGCATCCCGGTCTTAGTCCGCAAGGTTCAATATTGAGTTGGCCCACCCTTTGCAGCTATAACAGCTTCAACTCTTCTGGGAAGGCTGTCCACAAGGTTTAGGAGTGTGTCTATGGGAATGTTTGACCATTCTTCCAGAAGCGTATTTGTGAGGTCAGGCACTGATGTCGGACGAGAAGGCCTGGCTCGCAGTCTCCACTCTAATTCATCCCAAAGGTGTTTTATAGGGTTGAGGTCAGGATTTTGTGCACACCAGTCAAGTTCCTCTATCCCAAACTCACTCGTTCATGTCTTTATGGACCTTGCTTTGTGCAAAGGTGCGCAGTCATGTTGGGAAAGGAAGGGGTCATTCCCCAAACTGTTCCCACAAAAGTTGGGAGCATGAAATTGTCCAAAAAGTTGTGGCATGCTGATGCCTTAAGAGTTCCCTGCACTGGAACTAGGGGGCCAAGCCCAACCCCTGAAAAACAACCCCACACCATAATCCCCCCTCCATCAACTTTACAGTTGGCACAATGCAGTTGTGCCAAATTTGTAGGTAAAGTTGATAAAGGGAATATCCAATTGCCTCTCAGGAGACGAGGAAGGAATTTTTTCCCTTGCAGGAGCAAATTGGATCGTGCTTTGCTGGGTTTTTTGCTTTCCTCTGGATCAACTGTGAGTATAGGATTATAACCTTTTTTTTTAATGGTTGAACTGGATGGACTTTTGTCTTTTTTCAGCCAGACTAACTATGTAACTATCGTTCTCCGGGCAACCGCCAGCCTCAGACATATTCATCAGATTGCCAGAAAGAGAACAGTGATTCATCACTCCAGAGAACATGTCTCCACTGCTCTAGTGTCCAGTGGGGGTGTGCTTTACACCACTGCATCTGACACTTTGCATTGCACTTGGTGATGTAAGACTTGCTGCAGCTGCTCAGCCACGGAAACCCATTCCATGAAGCTCTCTGCACACTGTTGTTGTGCTAATCTGACAAAGTGGCCACAAAGTTTGGAGGTCTTTAGCGATTAGCTCTGCAAACAGTTGGTGACTTCTGTGTATTGTGCGCTTCAGCATGCGCTGACCCCGCTCTGTCATTTTATGTGGCCTACCACTTCATGGCTGAGTTGCTGTTGTCCCCAGTTGCTTCCACTTTGCTATAATACCACTAACAGTTGACTGACTGGAATATTTGGTAGCAAGGAAATTTCACGGATGGACTTATTGCATGGGTGGCAACCTATCACGGTACCACACTTGAATTCACTGAGCTCCTGAGAGTGACCCATTCTTTCCCAAATGTTTGTAGAAGCAGTCTGCAGGCCTAGGTGCTTGATTTTATATACCTGTGGCCATGGAGGTGATTGGAGCACCTGAATCCAATGATTTGGAGGGTGTCCCAATACTTGTGGCAATATAGTGTATATAAGTGATTTTGCACAGCACAGCTGACTTGTAGCAGTATATCTGCTATGGGTGGTCTTTAATTCACGATTGCTAGTCTGAAACCTGAAGCCAGTGTTTGCATCATTTCAGAGGTATCATGCATCACTTAAAAGTGCAGTTGCTCTAGATTAGAGGGAAACATACAAGGAAAATAAAAAAAACATAATTTTTGCTTGCACATGATTGGATGAAAGAAATCAGCAGAGCTTTGCCTCATTTCAGAGCTTACCTTTGGGTATAAATCAACTGCACTTGAAGTGCACAGTATACTGTATTTAACTTTAGTAAATCAACCTCCCTGTGTTGAATGCTGTTAGTATTTTTTAGAACTACTGGCTCATTGGGTATTTACCCATGCCATCTTCTCCATCATTTATTTTATTCCTTCAGGTGCACGCTCCAACAAATTAAATCTACATGTCTTGCCCTGCCCTAATAAACAGATTCTGCAAAATGTGCTGACTCCCAGCACCACCATTACTACCATACCAAACGGATTCCCTGTGAATTCAAGTGCCTCAGCCTCCTTTCCATTTCGGAAAAGCAGAAAATAGGTGTCAAGCAATATGTACCGATCGTGTCTCTTAAGGGCAGTTCAATCTTGACACAGGTATGAGGTTATAGCCCACATAGGACATCCGTATTCCAGCTGCTTCTGAGAGATGTCAGTCAGTGTACGGCATGATAGGGTCAGGGAGAAAAAGAAAAATAATATATAATAAAAATGTGAAAAAAAGCTCAGTTACAGTACAGAGAAAATAACCTGTCACTGGGATGTAAGAAAGAACAAGCTGTGCACTGTTATCGGTTTAAAGAATTTGTAAAGTTAGACGCTGTTTATCAGAAGGCTTGTCACTTAAAACTATAGGACTGTGCAATATTTTCAGTGAGAAGAAAATGAGGCTGATTCATCAAATGATAGGAAAACATGTCTGTAGAGAAAACATGGCAAATAGTGTTTTAAAAATAACCATAATGTTGCTAGGCAAGAAGGATCTGTGCTGTAACTATATTATTTTTAGACAATTGGGATATGTATTTTCCAAATCAGTGGCTCTAAA